AGAGAGTTACGCATTATCCACCCACCAAAACAAACAAATTTATTATATTCAACAAGCATTTAAAAATTAGCAATTAACCAATCACAGAAGACAATTATGCATATTTAATTAGTTTAGTAGCTGGTGGAATGGCATAATACTATAGTTTGTTTTTGTTCAGAGTATAATTATTAAAAGAAGAATGAATTGTTCTTCATCCTTTTAAGAATAATTTGCAATATCGATATGACAACATTATGGTTATAATATAAATTTTAGACTATTTTAACTACTATTATAATTATGACTATTCAAAAAACAACATACACACATACAAAATTACCTCCAATTCGAGACCACCTTTGGGACCTGAAAATTTGGTGTTGTTTTGGAGTTGGTCCCCAATTGGAGGGCTAGCTTTGTGTTAAAAGGTTGAAGATTATTATTAAATTCTTTGGAAAAGTGGTCTCAAATTAGAGCGGTCTCAAATGGGAGGGTGCATTGTATAGGCTTTACTTAAGCTCAAGTCAATGTTTGGAATTTAGATAATATAATGAGTGACTTATATTATTGTTTAAGAAATTAGAAATTTATATCGGCATGAATAAGTCTGTTTTAGAAGTTGGATATTTATTTTTTCTTTATTAAAGTAAGGCAGGTATTATTAATTGAATTTAAATAAACTGCTAACAATAATATTGTTTGTTCTTCCTGTAGTGGTTACTGATAGTATTTAATATACATTTTACATTCTGCCATACTTTCATATTTTAGGAGAAATATACATTTAGTAAATCAGATCAGACACAATTTGTGAATCTTCTATGAAATGATATGTTATGCAATATTTTTGGTAAATAATTAACAAAAATGGCTTCTATTTGTTTTGTTTAACGTGATTTGGACATATAAATGAAATTTAAACCCAGGTGAAAATCCCTTTAACTTGTTATTTTTCATTAGACCTGAAGTCTAATGCATGTATTCTACTGACAAAACTGGATACAATGCTGAACATCAAATGTGTCATGCTTTTTTTCTTTTGTTTTAATTTCTTCCGCATTTCTTCCGAATCACGACAGTATATCTGATGTGGTAGTGTGTATATATAATGTGTGTATGTTTGTAACTATATGTAGGTATAATGTATGAAATAAAAGTTATTTGAGTTACGTTTGTAGGCATATATATCTACACTCTTAGAAATAATGGTTCTTCAGAGATTCTTGGCTGTCCTGTACTATGGAACCCTAGTTGTAAAAAGGTTCTTTTTTAATGGTTCTGTAAATAGTTCTAAAAACACTTTAACGAACCTAAAATTATTACCTTTAATGGTGCTACAGGTGTTCCATATACAGGACCTGAAGGACCCCTTAAAAACCCATTTTTTCTTAGAGTGAATGTAACTCACATAGGAGTTCCTATTTGAGCCGCTGATGAGGCATACAAAGTATAGGTGATGTTTCCTTCACTTGAAGCTGAAGCATAAACAGATGACGGACTTATACTTGAGGAAATAGAGGTGCCTCCTCCAGTAATGGAGTCGGATATATTGAACAGCTTTCGTGGTCCTGTATTGATTAGTCTGAATTTGGTAACGATAGATGATCCGGCAATCAATTCTTCTGTGGATTTTAAGCATAATCATGTTCAATTAATTTTTCTTTTGGTCTTTACGTTTCTTTACTTTTGTACAATGGACCTATTCACATATTTACCTGTATCACTTGATAAATGCACCAGCTGAAACGTTTCTGGTCTTACAGCAGTTGGTTGTAGACGTCGTATAATGTTACCACCTTCATCGCTAGCTTGGAGACTTACAGAAAAAACCTATAAAATTAAAAGGCGTTAAACATAACAATAGTTGTTACTATTCTAAGTGTTATTGTTACCAGTCAGCCGCACTCAGACTTTGTTCTGTATTCGTACCTTCTGCTGATTCTTCTGCTGATCAATAGCGGCTGTAGGATATATTTTCTGGAGGGCCAAGCTGTTCGACATGGGGGGGGGGCGGTGAGCTAAGAATATCCTTGGCGGGCAGCGGGATCCGAGGCCGTATGCCCGAGCCGGGGAGAGTGTATGAGAGCCATTGGATAAAAAAAGACGTTCACTGAATTGAGCCCGAATTTACCAGGAATAATCTGACTGAGTACATGTTCTATTAAACATAATTTCTAGTTAATATTATTATTGTTGTAATTTGTTTGTGTATGTATTGTTAGTATCCTGTTGTCATCATCGTTACTATTATCAGTCTTACGATTAAATTTATATTCTTATCCCAATTATTTGTCAGAATTATCATATCACCATAACCAGAATTACTTGGATATAACATACAATTGTTTTCCTTTCCAATAGCGGCTGTAGGATATATTTTCTGGAGGGTCAAGCGGTTCGATATGGGGGGGGGGGGTGAGCTAAAAATATCCTTGGCGGCCAGCGCGATCCGAGGCCGTATGCCCGTGCCGGGGAGAGTGTTTGAGAGCCATTGGATAAAAAAAAAACATTCACTGTATTGAGCCCGAATTTACCAGGAATGATCTGACTGAGTACATATTCTATTAAACATAATTTCTAGTTGTAATTTGTTTGTGTATGTTTTTTTAGTATCCTGTTGTCATCATCGTTACTATTATCAGTCTTACGCTACAATAATTAAATTTACATTCTTATCCCAATTATTTGTCAGAATTATCATATCACCATAACCAGAATTACTTGGGTATAACATACAATTGTTTTCCTTTCGAAACGGAAAAACTCCACCATTACCAAAGATTAAAGAACTGCAAAAGGTACAATTCTCGGGGTTTCGTTAGAATGCAAATTGTATCTAAAAAAAAGTACTATCACGAACTTAATGGTGTCCTTCAAAATAAAGTGAAAGGCCTTTGCAGACAGGGCGCCCCTGTCTTGTGGTAGTAATTCTTTTACGTTTTATTGCGTGCATACAAAATCAGGGCAGTCGGACCTCTTGCAATTATATACTCTTTGCCATTACTTACCTCACTTGGAACAATAAAGATTCCAAAATAAGTATCGTCGGTTTCGCTTTCTACCTTCGAAAGTCGTATATATCTGACTACTACACCGGATGAACTAACTAGTTCTGCCTGATCCACTGAAGAAACGTCTATTACTCCTAATACCTTTATATAAATAACCAACTCAGTTCCTGTGTACATAATTAGAAATTGTCAGTTTTTGTG